TCATATTTTTTTTCGGGTTTGTTTGTGATGGGGATTTGCATTTGTGTTGTAGAATACATAATAGAGTTAAAACCAGTATTTGTAACAGAGTAAATTGATTCCTTTTCAGCTAACAGGTCAATCTCAATTAAAAATTTATGTTTAAAAATGTCAATACCTGAACCATAAAATGGTGAAAATATAATTGAGGGACGTGTCCTGATTAAAAACCAAGAAGTTGAGAATATTTTCTGGAAGTTAATGTCGAAATTAAATTTAAGTTATATAAATTTAAGTTATATCACTTTCCATGTGAATCTTTAAAGTACTATAATGATATTATAAATAAAAATGTCTCCTTAAAACTTTTACAAATGAAACTAACCAATCAAATCGTAGTAGTGATACAGTTCCCATTGCCAAATGATAGTATGACTTAAATAGATTTGTTGTATTTGCTTATCAGTGTACAAAAATTAAATAACCTTTATATGATAATACATTTAACCGCTCAAAACACTAACTTGCAACATTGTTATGAAGTCAATTTAGAAGTATCAAAATGATGTAGTATCTTTTCAAAAAGACATGAGTAATCACACATAACTGTCAAAAAAATAACTGTGCTCGAATATTTTGGTAAGTGATTTAATTGTCTGTATATAATATTAAAGTTCTATTATAAAGCTATTTGAAATTGTTTTTTTCTTTTGAAGGGACGGGTTAAATATTCATATGTTAGAGACAAAACAGTGATTCAATTTGATCATAAAAAACACGTACTCAAGTGCCTAGATTCTTTGTTCAAAGTACTTGGTAATCATAAGAAATATAGAATCTCACAGATTTTCGGACATGAATAAACTTTTAAAATGCTAATCTCAAGATACATATTTGTGAATAGTACAATACGAATCTCGTATTTAGTCAAATTTCAATAGTGCGAAAACATACATTGATTAAAAATTTTATGTATATTTGATATAAAATTAGAAATTAATTTCTTTATTTGAATCACAAGTGATCTAACATTGTTACTTTAAATGATTTTTAATAATCCCACTACACTGGTACTGCTGAAAGGCCATTTTACAAAGCTTCCCTTGACCTTCATTGTGAGTAAGTACTATCTATTTATTCATCAGTAAGATATATAAAGATTTAAAATAGTAGATGACTAAGAGACATTTATCAAAAGAACTAATGTCCATCTGAAATCTTATCAAACATTTTATAAAGTATAGATGAAATAAAAATGAAATTGAATATTGAATCATGAATGTAATTAAATTAAATATATCCTTATGTTATGTTTGATGAAAGCACTTTTTAAATGAGGTTTTACTCAATACAAAACTATAATTCAAACAATAACTTTACAATTAGTAAAAATCATGAATCATTTTAACAAAGTAATAAGTGATATTTGTATAGTATTATTACCAATAAACTCCAAAAGATAATTGCTTTACTATACATACACCTATGATGTAGTCCGACTATATAAGTTAATAAAGAAATCAACTTGTTTCTATGCAAATCATCACTTCAAGTATTATTACAAATCATTACTGATTCACACTTTTTTTCTAAAAAAAAATTGAAATCAGAAAGAAATAAAAGTAGGGTACAAGAAATTGCGAGCTACATTTTTCTTGTTTTTTTTACACTTCAATGTACACTAAGTGAAACCACTTTGAATAGCGAAATGGTTGAAGTGTTTTTTTACTACAAATATGATTTCATAGAACAATGATACATGAATAATGGATATTATGATTTCTGAAATAATACAAAGAGATATTATAACTTTATATATATAACATGTGTAAAAGGTTTATGTTAGAAATAAAAGTCAATTAAAGTTTTTGTTACTACGATTTTATAGTTCCAGAAAATAAAATTGCAAAAGTTTTTTTTATTTTTAATATCATCCCTATTGTTTTATAGTTTTAACGTAAGGAAAATATACTTGAAAACAATAAAGGTTTTTTTGTTTGTTTGAATGATCGTTTTTTACATATCACTTTATGTAAGTGAATCATCAGTACAATGTTATTGTCGTACTATTAAAAGTTAAGATATATGTGTCGAAATTAGTTAAACTTTAAGCCAAAAAGAAAAAAATGAATCAGAATAATTATTTAATGTTTAGAAAAGACAATAAAATTAAACAGTTTGGAACGGTGAAATAGAAACCTCAAATTTTTTTTAATTCAAGGGTGAAGACTAGTAATATTTATCATTGAAATATCATGTGTTCATAGTAAGCGTTCAAAAGTTCTGATTGATTATTTCTTACTTTACTTGTGTTTACTGCAATCTTCTTGATGATCCTATCTATGATTTCTTATTCGGAAGTATACTGTTATATTCCTAGTTAGCTTTTGGTTGATATCACAGAGACATTATATGATGATAAATATATCCCGTATTCTTACATGTGTGGCATTTCAACAGTTGCTTTGCTATTTATAGATTTTTTTGTGCAAAATGAATGAGTACTCTTTGAATAGCTGGTTAGTTTGAACTTAAAGTATTAGAAAACAAAACAGAATGACATTGATTTATATAATTTGTCAACTTTGTAGGAATGTCGATCGTTAAACTCAAAGAAAAAATGTAATAAAACTTAAACAATTTTTCAAGCTGTGTTTATTTCATAATGATATGTTTGCACTGAAAACTAATCATATGCTGTTCAGGATATCAAGCAAAGTAATGTAAGGTTTCTATTACGAATTACTGACTAATAGCAATGTCATTCATTGTACTATACAAAATTATAGAAAGATGCTTAGTGACATTTGAACTCTTTAGAACAAATGTATTTCATGACCATTTATTAAGTTTTTGACATATCACGATTCTACGAGGTAAACTGAAACAATACGGAAATGAAGTAAAAAAGTTAAAAAAAAGCAAAATTTCGCTCAATTTTGGTGATGTTTTCCCAACACATTCATTTTAGGAGACGAAACAATAAATGTTGTAGCACAGTAGGAAATCGATTAAGAAAGACAGATACTATGTACTATTATCTTTCGAGGACATGAGGTCATATTGAATTTCTACAGTGAAATTTAACCCAATCTATATGTGAACTATGCATTCCGTATTATGGCAAAAGTCATAAAGTATTTCGGAAATAATGCTGACCGCTCTATTAAAAATTTATATTCAGAGGTGACGGTGAGATAGTAGTTATAGTCATGTATTTAAACGAAGAAATATGCCTGATATGACAGATTCTCGGTCGAAAATCCCATAGTATAATATCTGAACACTACTATTGTATTTCTGTCATCAATATCTTAAATGTTTGTTGTATAATACTTACTAAAGTCATCGAAATCTGCTGTCCATTGGATTTCTGATTTATCAACGCATACAACACTAAGATAAAACCCATTCGTATATCAAGCCTTTTGTATAAAAGAGATGAAACCAATTATGTAATAAGTTGCTCAGAATAATTATAACTATAACGGTCTAATTGTTCGTCATCACAATAATGTAAACTGAACAGCTTGGAAGAGATTTTTCAAAACGCTCAAGGTAAATAAACAATTTTGAATCGGATAGAATCAAACAAAACGCAATTATCGAATCCGAACTTATTTTTCTATTTCACCCGAAACTGGTAAACGGAATCGATTAGCCGAAAAATTATTTAATTAAGAGGATTTATTATGTACATAATGATTCATTCATTCTTCAAATGATTCTCATAACTGCGAATGATCTGACAAATATCGAGTGTAATCATTTATTCCTCATCGCTACTTTTATATTCCGTATACCATTAAATCAATATTAAATAATAATCCAATTTATTTGTCAAAAAATAAATCCTTACTATCTTCTTGTGTCAAAAAACAAGTGAATAAACACTGGATATAAAGAAATATTAGCCCGTTGTATATTTAGATGACTTTTCGATTGGCTCAGCGTTGACCAATGGCATTTAAACAAAACTTTGACCGTTGACTTTTATGCCTATACATATACTCAGAGATCGATAGAGACAAAGTTAAACATTATTTTCATCACATGAAATATTTTCGAAATTGAGTTAACTTCATCATAGTTTGGAGATAATTAAGACTTTAACCTAAAGAATGAAGTTGATCAGAATACGGTGTCGCTTCATGATGACTTGGATTTTAGATATTCGTCATTGGTTAATCAATAATTTAACCATCTGTGGTAAGAATATGCTGATTATTAAATGAAGGAGTTTACTACATAATTACTAGTGGAAAACGAGTCTAATAAAATAATGTGCTCTCAGCAAGCATTATTAGAAGTAACCTATACTGAAGATTTAGGGATGTGTATGGTGATATAAATTAAGGACAAAAAAATCAGTAACACTTAAATTTATTGGTTGAAGAACGAATACTACTAAATGTATAGTGGCACATTTTGGTCACCGTATCCTAAGAAAACGAACGATTTATAATATTGAATCTTTCTCCATGAAATAACAAAGTAATCATTTTTATTAGAACTGAAGCAAATCTTAACATCGTTAGTAAAACTTATGCTAAGGCTTTATAGAAACTACATCGGACATCTACTTAGAAGTCAGGAAGATCATGAAAATAAAACTTATTCACTCTCCTAAATCAACAGTAGAAAATGCAAGCAGCTAGATATTACCAAAGCATCACTTTGAACCAGTATTTACCGATAATAGTGCATAGTCGTCATAAAATAATGTAAATCGCAAGAAGTTGGAATTGTGAATAATTAGACATCAACTCACCTATAGCCTTAAGTATTGAGGTTCCTCAGTTAATTATTTGGCTAGTTCATAGATTCTAAATACTTATGAATTTCATATAGTAATGAAATGAATTTACACTCTTGTATGAATTTCAATAACTATTTTCATTGAGAAAGTCAGTAATGTAAACTGTACAAGCTAAACAGTTTGGAAAAATTTACGATCTTAATTATACGAACTTATCACAAATAATATTTTTAAGTATGCGCACAACAAACGTAAACTTCACCTGAGTTTAAAGTTATTCGGTTCTTCATTTATTTTTACTTCATATTTGGTGAAATTTCGCAGAAGTAAACAGTAGGATGGTATTTTTTCGTGTCTGAAAGAACCAATGAACTAATATATTCTTCTGCAGTATTATTGTTATCTGATTTGTGGACCTAATAAAACAGTGTCTTGAATCTATATCGAACCGGTATCATCTCGCATGTTGTTTCAACCAATATTTATTCCTGATGTCAATATAGTGAGGGTTGTCATGGATTACATACATAACTTTCTGATAAACTCCAGAATGTAGCGTTCCATAATTTGTATGGTTTAACTTTGATGTTTCGACTGTCAATCCGGACATCAGCATATATTTTAGGTAAAAATATTCTTTTCAGTAACTGAAGAAAGGATAAGTCAGTGTAGAATGACTACTGTTTTTATGAAATCTCGTTTGTTTGTGTACTTTTTAATGCAAATTATCTGAAAAAGAAATTGTATTCAAATGAAGATGGATGCTTGATATCAGGAGACGTTTTGAAAATTTAGATATTCTGAATTTTATTTGTCAGTTACGCTGATACTACAAGCCGTGATGAAATTAAATTTACGTAGCTGGTTCTCGAATGGGCTACAGAATCTGAGAAATGTACTGTTAAGAGTTCACGTGTACGTTATAATCAATCATGATAGAAGCAATATCCAGATATTTACTCTGATGAGTGAATTAGAAGCTGGAAGGACGAACGCTTGAACAGGTTAAACCAATTTACTATATCCTGCACATCACACTGGATTTGTAAAATATGAAAACAAAACGTTGGATGCTTCATTTCCACATCTTGAATTGTCTCTTACAAACCACATCTTTCTTTCATTACTGTTGCTACCTCGACGATTTTTCTCTCTTTTCTTTCCTTCGCCTTGTTTTTCTCTTCTGTCAGCAAGAATTCTACCTCTAGTTCACCATATATACTACTTATACCTATCAGTATACATAGTACACATAATACTGCCAATAACTTAAATCACGTTTTGCTTTAACAATTATAAGCACATTTTAATTTTATCGAGTCTGTTGCTTAACTATAAAGATTGTTTTTATAGCTTGTTAATTCATTGTCCAGACAGTTGTTTTTGTTTAATAGTCTGAAATCATATGACAAGGGAGGAGGAAATTCTAAAACGACATCATATTATTAATATTTCTAGTGTCTGAGTTACTGAATAATATTGGCCATTTTTGGATTGGGATATATAACTAGTTGTTAAGATGAAAAAGTGTAATAAAACTTGGCTTGAATTAAAATTGAAGCAGTAATGTTGATATCTTTGAATGCATTTACAACATCTCATTCAATGAAACGGTGTCTTTATTATTATAAGGATGCTCTTCTAGTAACTATGAGAATATTTTAACTTCTACACTAGAAATATCATGTCGATTAAATTGGAAAATAAACGTTAGTAATTCTAATTGAAAAGCCAAAAGCTGTTCCCATATCTTGTTCCAGTCTAAACGTAAATTGGAAAATCAATCGTCATTGTCAATCTGTAGTAATGAGAAAAGTAAGTTTAAACATCCCAGTCCTTCAAGAATTTCGAATACTGAATGCACGGTTGCGGTAAAGCTGTGAAAAGCTGATATATGCTATTTATGTAGACTACTGACAAATGAATTCGTCGTTTTCTTTCAACTAAGTGTTTCGTTTAATAGAAAATACATGTGAGATTAAAAATAATTGTCATGGTAACGACAACATTTAGCATAACTGGTAAGTTCCAATGAATTCCAAGTTATTTAAAACACTAAGTAATTATGTGGTGGTTCCAATTTTACCAAGGATATTCATGTTATACGATTTTTCTAGTACATTCCAGAAAGATCGTGTTTTTGAAATAACCTCATCAGAATATCTAAAAATGTAATAGTTTATAGATGTTAGCTAAATTTCTCTAGGGAACTATCATTTGTTAACATTTTTTAATCTTCAGATGAAGGCTTTTCAATAATTGTTTATTTGACTTATGAAAGATTTTGTTTAAATTCAACAAAGGTAAAGAAAGTTTTAAGAAAATACTGATGAATAAAGTACATAACGATTGTAGAAAAGTAAATTTACGAGTTTCTAAAACAAACAGTTCACAATATACTGATAAAGTCATATTGATCAATGTAAGACAGTCATTGTTGGATATGAATAACGAAACCCAACATATGTTTGCATTAAATGAAATATGACTTCATGGTATATATAGATAAAATGTTTCTTTAACATATTTATATGGGTAATTACTTAGATGTATTGTATGTCTAATGAAATGTTTAATTTAAATTTCTAAACATATAAGTTTTTAAACATATACATAGCATACTATTCAGGCTCAGTACATTCAAGCTGTAAGTACATACTTTCCTTCAAGTTGATAATTTGTTCAACAAATTACCTCATAAAATAAAATAAACTGTAACTACCAATATATCAAATAGTCCACTACACTTGTGGATATATTTTAAGGATTTAATATATTATGTCGAAAATAAGGCGACATATTTATATTTACAGATGATTAGTTAACACCAAATGTAATATAAATGATCCTTTTATATATTTATTTATTTTCTTTTTCACCAATGTGTGCCCAATGTCAAGCTGGTTATCCAGACGAATATATAAATTTGTTGTCGCCACATTAAATTAAAAAAAAGGAATCTTTCATGATGTTTTAGTCTTACCCCACACTCCAAAAAAAGAAAATATTTTTTATTTTAAATAAATGAACGAGCTAATTACAAAATTGGAAGAATAAATTCCCGTTTTTTTAATTGGTGTATAAAATTTATTATATTGGTATAATAGATTTCAATAGGCAAACAGTTTTATGATACTATAGATTCCCTATAATCCAAAAAAAATTAAATAAATTATAAATACAGATAGGGTAAACATTTGATCATTTCTAAGCGAAAAACTATAACAACTAACTAAATTTTATAACGTGTACGTTTCTTTTAAAAAAAATCTAAATTTTACGTATAAATAAATTAATATATTTGTAATATCCCAATGAGTAGAAAAATTAGATTTTCTGACATTTCGTGACTCAGTGTAAGTCACTTCTTCAGAGAATAAATAACCAGTAGTCCAAGTTTAAATAGTACAACGGAACAACACGAATATTTGGTGCGATCAATAAAAAAACAAGTCTGAATAAATTAATGTCATGTCATTTCATTTCGGTCAAAGTGATTCATAAGTGACATGTATGTAAATGTGTGTGTGTATGTGTGCACTGTTAATGATGGAAAATGTGTGACCTTTATAATGACAAAGGATAGAGTTTCATTTGTAATGTAATGGTGTGAATATCAGACTAGGTGACTAGGATAGATAATCCAAGTAGGATGTATGATGAGGCCTTCTTTTCTATTGAGAGCAGGAGGATTACGCATTATATGGTACGCTTCAACTACTCTCTCTTTATTCTCTGAAGAAATGGCTTACAATGAGTCACGAAGCGTCAGAAAATCTAATATTTCTACTCGTTGGGATATTACAAATATATTTATTTATTTATAACAATCTACCCCATCCTCAGTTTATTCAAAATTATCAAATCAAATCTTGGTAGTGATACCCATAAATTTTACGTAGTTTTTTTAAATAAAGCGGAAAACAAATATTTCCTGTGTAATAATTGAAGTATAAAAAGTGTCTTGACTAGTAACATAAGACAAGAAAAATTAAAATTATTAGCAATAAAGTTTTATGAAAATGATCTAGCATTTAAGTTAAACAACTGTTCAAAATTTCTTACTGTTTATTGAATAATCAACTGAAGTTATTCAATAATTTAAACCACTATGTATAATTATTTGTGAGGAGAAAAATTTAGTTAGTTTTCATGTTACCTATTGACGTGAACAATGCTAAATTATCTTAACTGTGAAAGTATATTTTGACCACTGTTCGTTACACTTAGATATTTGTTTAAACATACAAGATACATATAGAATTGCTCAGTCACTCTTCAAGTAATCAAAAAATATATAGGTTGGATATAACGTACTTCTATAGTTATTGATACCAGAACTATGCGTGACAAGCCAATTTTATTGATAAACATTATTTAGTTATTAAAAAATCAATATTTTGTTGTTAGGATAAAGAAACTGCTCTGATACGATATACATCGAAATATTAAACTAACAGTCCATAGTTTTTTCTTTTTATAGAAAAGAAAGCATGACATGAATTCGGATTTGCGACATATTTCATGCTTCATTTCATCAATATTTATTGGAACATAGAATTAAGATTGAATGAATTATGCAAATAATAAAGAGGTGTTAAAAATAATTCAACTAACTTAATATGTTTCAAGCAATTTGTCCCTTTGGTAAATTTTGATAATGTAATAAGAAGACGAAGATTATCAGAACTATGTGATATAATAGCGCTATACGATATCTCAGTAATCTGTGAAAGAAAGGAAGATATAAACTTCTTATTGAAAAAACTGAACAATATCCAAAACCATATCAGTCTCTCATGCGAAGAGGAGAAGAACGACCAACTTCCCTTCCTAGATATACTCTTAAGCAGACGAGAATATGGCTCAATTAAACGATCCATTTTTCGAAAACCGACGTGGACGGTTATAGTTATTGCCCTATGCAATACAAACGGGGTTTTGTAAGGTGCTTATTTAACAGGCTTGAACCCATTTGCACAAACGACGCTATTGATGATGTCAAGTTGTTAAACAAGACATTAATGGGGAATGGTTATCCACCTAAATTTATCAATAGATGGAAAGTTCATGGCACAGTGAGACCTACTGTAGCCTTGGTGGAGAAAAAGGCTGTCTACATCACCTAACCATTTAGAGGTGATTCAAATAGCCTTTTATTGAAACAAAGGCTTAAATCAGTCATCAACAAAACGTATTGTGCTGCGAAAGTCATAATCAAGGAAAGAACGAGGTCCATGCTTCATTCAAAACCTAGACGAAATGAAAACGATTGTGTCACATCCCACTGTGTTTACCAATTTAAATGTGTGTGTGGTCACACATGCCTAGGGAGGAGCAATCGCGATCTCAAAATTAGGGTGGGTGAACATGTACCATGCAAAAACAATTAGAGTCGAATGACCTGATAAGAGTAGAGGATAAACATCCATCATCCTCTATTGCCAAACATATAATCGAAACAGGTCATAAGATTGATCTTAACTCGGCTTATGTTGTGTTGTTTAAATGTGTAAAAGGGCGTATACTAAGGTTTATTGAAGCCTTAGCCATACGAAAATTCAAACCCGCTTGTGTATTCAAAAACAGTTTGTTCTCTCCTTAAACCTACCCTGGTAATATTAGCTTATTATCCAGAGTGATTGGGTGTCAAATCCTTATAATGTTTATTATTATAATCTTTGTCTATTCTTAACCCTATTTCCAGTCTAGTTGACCTTTTACTTTTA